TCGAAAGGGGACGCCTGCAAAATCATGGACTGCCGACAGAAACGGTCGACTGACGCTGAAGCTTTCCGCCTTCAGGTCGAAGGTCTCGGAAGCCTCCAGCTTCTCCTTGATGCTGAGCCAAATCCAATACTCCTCAGCTTCTCGCAAATTTTGGCCAGCCGGGGGCTTTGCTTGCTTGCTTGCAACTAAAAATGGGGGAACTATCCCATTCTGAAGCTCTGGCGTTTCCCTAGGTTTTCCTCTACAACCCAAAACGGGGTACAAAACAAGACATATCCATCTTGAAGCTCCAGGTCACTCAGAGTGGGTGCCTAAGGGGAGAAATTCAGAATAGGCATGGGCACCATGGGCCATTTCTGCTCTGTTCCTTTCCGAAGTCGTGGCGGAGCATCCCCGCAAGTGCGGGAAGATCGCACCAGCTTTTCGAAAACCGTTTGGGTCAAGCCAGCTGAAAAGGCAAACTGGGAACCAGGATTGCGAAAGGGTATCCTCAAGTCATAGCGGAAGGCCGAAACGGCTCTTCTTTCAGGTCAAATCAAACAGGGTGTCCAGTATTTCTCCTTCAACATTGCCACACCAAAAGGAACGCGATTTGCAACTTGGTTTAACGGGTGATTGCACTTGAAACAAGTTGAAACCAGTTGAAACTAGTTGATCCCTTGCTTTCAAAACGCCGTGTTTTCTGCAGGTGTGTTTTCGTTTCCTGAAAAGAAGTGTCCATGATTTCAGATTGGGAAAGTTATCTGTAGAACAAAGCCTCAGCTTTTTTCCCCATCGTACGTTTGATTCTGGTCCATGCCTGCACCTTGTGTGAAACACTTTCAGCAGAGATCCCTATCACTTCAATCATCTGCTTTGCCTTTTGGTGTCCCTTGAAAGCCGCCAGGGTTTCTTATCTACAAATTCCAGTTACCCCCAAAAAGCCCATAAGAAAAATTGGGCCTGGCCTTTCGGATTGAAATTTGGTGCCCCCTTCTCGCCCCCCTCGAATCGGACCCCAAAAGAATAGCCACCGCACCTCGTGCTGCGAGAAGTTCTCGGTCTGAATCACCGAGACCCGGCCGACGCCACCGAAGATCTTCAGGTCGTTCACGTTCTTGCCCACCGAGGCCGTGCCTCACCGAGTTCGTTGACCATGGAACCATTGACCTTACAACCCTTGGTATGGTAGCCCCTACTGAAAATGAACAGAACCAAAAACACAAAAAAACAACCTACAAGCTCGCCAACACCAGTGAAGTTGAACAACCTGCTTTTGGTTTCCCGACCGTAACGACTGACTGAACCAAATCGCGATGGTTCCTTAAAGTGTACATTGAATCCAACAGCCACCGCGCGCACAGAATTGTGCATCTTGTTGACTGGCCCAAATGTGCCCTTTAAGACTCAAACACCTCTTTGAACTGGGTCCAACACTCAGGGTGACCAAATTCAAGTATCCATCTTCTTTGTTGGTTTCCTTTCGGGGCAACAACTGACCTCTGGCTATTCAGAACCTGACAGGAGCGACACCCCAGAATGGCACCTTCGCGGTTGCCATGCTTGGAACCTGTTGACGTGTTTTGTTGTTTACCACCAAGCTGGCAAACGACACCAGCCTGAATGGCTCAAAGGTCACCGAACTCAATTTGGGGTGGCCCTGCGTTGCTCAACTGGTGGGCGAATCAGTTGCTGACCTTCACAGGACATACTTCATGCTCACTGGGATGTATGGGGTTGGGGTTGATGGCACAACGGAACAAGGAGGGCAGTCTTTTCCACGTAGGCTTTTGCATCAGTGGACCTTACACTACATATGAACTAAGGGCAAGAAGGCACGAACAAAACACCTTGAAACAACCCAAATGAGGATAACCCCCCCACCCCCCCCCCCCCACCCTACAAGCAATTTGGGTGTGGGTCAAACATAGGTACACAAAATGGAAGCCCGGAAAATGAAAACAAGGATCAAAACCTACTGTCCAACTCGTGGTTCAATTTTAACCCATTTTTCGCTCGTAACAGGTGCGACCACTTTGGACCAGGGAGCCCCCATCACTTCCAGCCGAGATGCCCAAGCTGTGGATGGTGCCATCAAAGACCGCCGGGTGCAGCACGTAGCCCACGTTGGGCACTCCGTCATCCAGCTTCAGACGCCCAAGCACCTCATGCTGACTAGGGGACAAGAGGACGCTAGTAGTCAGGAACAAGAGGAAACTAAAGAGGAAGAGGAAACCAAAACAAAAAGGAGACCTACACTTTTCTTGCTGACCCCTCTGCAAAAAGTGTGAAAAACCTTGGGTCCAATGTGGAAAATCCCCCCTTCACAGACAGTGAAAGTCCAAAGATCCGCAACCAAATAGCCATACAGAAACGGTCCCGGTCCGTAGGGATGCGAGACTTATTTGGCATTCAAATTGAGTCCCATGTGGTGACCCTCGAAAAAAAATAATGTATGAACAAATCAAGTCCAGTTTGCTTGGTGGCCCTTAACGGGGCATCGAGCAAACGGGCTGTTCCCCGGGAAAAAAAATCCTGCGGTCTTGACTTTTTGGGTGGCCTGCACTTCTCGGCACATTTGGTTTGCCAGGCGTTTTTCACCTCCGGACCAATGTACCTCGATGATGTTGCTGTCGCTGCCTTCCTCGGGCTCCTTGCGCCAGAGCTGCTTGGCGGTCTGGAACCTCGGCGAAACATCGGAGCTACCCAGGAAAAAAAAAGGGACATAATGCCTAGAACACGCAGACCAAAGAGACAAAACACGAAAGAAAGCAACACCAAAGAAGAGAGAGACAAAAAAAGAAGAAGAAACACGCTCTATAAAAAAAAAAGAAGCACCTGTCAGTAAGACGTCGTTTTTTCCTCTCCCGTTCCAAGGCGCATGGGGCCCAAGTAGAGCCCCACGCCATCGATGGCGGCATAGACGTCCTTGGCCGGGACCACCTCCACGACGCGCTGCTTCAAACTCTCCAGGTCCACGGGCTCCGCCTAGTGCGAGCTGGCGGGTGGTCCCAAAAAATCGATACCGGGAACCCCAAAATGGGTGGCCGGCTGCCCGGGTAAAAGGACACATGGGCTAAAACCCCGCGGTTTGTTTTCTTCTTCTTCTTTTTTTCTTCTCCTTTTTTTTTCTTCTTCTGGTGGTTCAATTGTTTGAATGAACCGGTTTGGGGGATTCTCGGATAGAGGAAACCATAGGACATGGATCGCTTTTCTTGGGGCTCTGACGTTGTTGTTTTCCTTTTCTTCACAATACGTGCATATATATATATACACAATGACGGAAGCCAATAGGGAACCAGCACCATTCTTCAAGGTCCCTAGTTTTAAGACAAAACCCAAATTGCTTTTGGTTCGGCATGGAGTATGGCATAGGGATCAATGTGTTATGCCCCAAGGTGAGGTCACCACTTATTGACAAGGAAATTCTGAACAATTTAGAGTAATCGAAGCCTGAAAGAAGACTTGGATCCCCAAGCAAAGCAACCGCATCATAGTAAGCTCGTTTTTCCTCCTGGTGAGCTTGCTTGCTGAAATTGACGACAACGGTGCATGATGTTGTTGTACTCGGATTCACTGGGATCATTGCTGGTACAAGTAAGGTCCGGCAGAGCCGGGGGGCGGAAGTTTCAAAGCAGTGAACAACTATAGTTTGGAGAACTGTCCTTGGCCCCTTGCTTCTCTCTCTCTCTCTCTCTCTTTCTCTCTTTCTCTCTTTCTCTTTCTCTTTCTGTTTCTCTGTCTCTTTCTCTCTCTTTCTATCTATCTCTCTAGCTATCTCTATATCTGTTTATTGATCTATCTATCTACCCATCTTTCTCTGCACTTAAAAGTTGCGATGTTCAATCCCCGAAAGTTGACTTCGCGTACTACTTTCGTACTTAAAAGTTGCGATTTTCGAGCCCCAGCTGCGAAACTGGACTTCACGTACTACTTTCGTAATTAAAAGTTGCGATTTTCGAGCCCCAGCTACGAAAGTGGACTTCGCGTACTACTTTCGTACTAAAAAGTCGCGATTTTCGAGCCCCAGCTGCGAAAGTGGACTTTGCGTACTACTTTCGTACTTAAAAGTTGCGATTTTCAAGCCCCGGCTGCGAAAGTGGACTTTGCGCACTACTTTCGTACTTAAAAGTTGCGATTTTCAAGCCCCAGCTGCGAAAGTTGACTTCGCGTACTACTTTCGTACTTAAAAGTTGCGATTTATCTATAGATCTACCTATCTATCTACCTCTCTATCTCCTATCTATCTATCTACCTCTCTATTTATTTATCTCTCTATCTCTTTATCTATCTAGCTAGTTATTTGTCTATCTATCTACAAATCTATCTATCTCTGTCTATCTCTGTTTCTCTATCTCTTTCTATCTATTTCTCTAGCTATCTCTATATCTGTTTATTGATCTATCTATCTACCCATCTTTCTCTGCACTTAAAAGTTGCGATGTTCAATCCCCGAAAGTTGACTTCGCGTACTACTTTCGTACTTAAAAGTTGCGATTTTCGAGCCCCAGCTGCGAAACTGGACTTCACGTACTACTTTCGTAGTTAAAAGTTGCGATTTTCGAGCCCCAGCTACGAAAGTGGACTTCGCGTACTACTTTCGTACTAAAAAGTCGCGATTTTCGAGCCCCAGCTGCGAAAGTGGACTTTGCGTACTACTTTCGTACTTAAAAGTTGCGATTTTCAAGCCCCGGCTGCGAAAGTGGACTTTGCGCACTACTTTCGTACTTAAAAGTTGCGATTTTCAAGCCCCAGCTGCGAAAGTTGACTTCGCGTACTACTTTCGTACTTAAAAGTTGCGATTTTCGAGCCCCGGCTGCGAAAGTTGACCTTGCAAAAATGCTGCGCCTGCCACCAAATCTGTGCTTGACCTTGCTAAAGTGCTGCGCCTGCCACAAAATCTGTACTTGCCCTTGCGAAAGTGCTGCGCGTGCCACGAATTTTGCACTTGACCTTGCGAAGGTGCTGCACCTGCCACAAATTCTGTACTTGACCTTGCGAAAGTGATGCGCCTGCCACGAATTTTGTACTTGACCTTGCGAAAGTGCTGCGCCTGCCACGAAATCGATACTTGACCTTGCGAAAGCGCTGCGCCTGCCACGAAATCTATACTTGACCTTGCGAAAGTGCTGCGCCTGCCACGCAATTCAAACCTTGCGAAACCTTCGCGCGGCCGTGCCAATGGGCCCGTCTCCGAGACCGTTCCGAGACCGCCTCCGTACAGGCGTCGCAGCCGAGGTGGTTTGCGCACAGTCCGGAAGCCCAATTCACGCACAGCGCCAACGTTTTCTGCATCTTGCCATCCCCCAGCTCGCAGAGAGTGGACGCAGCACCTTGCGAAAGTGCTGCGCCTGCCACGAAATCGATACTTGACCTTGCGAAAGTGCTGCGCCTGCCACGAAATCTATACTTGACCTTGCGAAAGTGCTGCGCCTGCCACGCAATTCAAACCTTGCGAAACCTTCGCGCGGCCGTGCCAACCGTCTCCGGTTCCGAACCCGTTCCGTTCCGAGACCGTTCCGAGACCGCCTCCGTACAGGCGTCGCAGCCGAGGTGGTTTGCGCACAGTCCGGAAGCCCAATTCACGCACAGCGCCAACGTTTTCTGCATCTTGCCATCCCCCAGCTCGCAGAGAGTGGACGCAGCACCTTGCGAAAGTGCTGCGCCTGCCACGAAATCGATACTTGACCTTGCGAAAGTGCTGCGCCTGCCACGAAATCTATACTTGACCTTGCGAAAGTGCTGCGCCTGCCACGCAATTCAAACCTTGCGAACCCTTCGCGCGGCCGTGCCAATGGGCCCGTCTCCGAACCCGTTCCGAGACCGTTCCGAGACCGTTCCGAGACCGCCTCCGTACAGGCGTGCGCAGCCGGAAGCCCAATTCACGCACAGCGCCAACGTTTTCTGCATCTTGCCATCCCCCAGCTCGCAGAGAGTGGACGCAGCACCTTGCGAAAGTGCTGCGCCTGCCACGAAATCGATACTTGACCTTGCGAAAGTGCTGCGCCTGCCACGAAATCTATACTTGACCTTGCGAAAGTGCTGCGCCTGCCACGCAATTCAAACCTTGCGAAACCTTCGCGCGGCCGTGCCAATGGGCCCGTCTCCGAACCGTTCCGAGACCGTTCCGAGACCGTTCCGAGACCGCCTCCGTACAGGCGTCGCAGCCGAGGTGGTTTGCGCACAGTCCGGAAGCCCAATTCACGCACAGCGCCAACGTTTTCTGCATCTTGCCATCCCCCAGCTCGCAGAGAGTGCTTGCGAAAGTGCTGCGCCTGCCACGAAATCGATACTTGACCTTGCGAAAGTGCTGCGCCTGCCACGAAATCTATACTTGACCTTGCGAAAGTGCTGCGCCTGCCACGCAATTCAAACCTTGCGAAACCTTCGCGCGGCCGTGCCAATGGGCCCGTCTCCGAACCCGTTCCGAGACCGTTCCGAGACCGTTCCGAGACCGCCGCCGTACAGGCGTCGCAGCCGAGGTGGTTTGCGCACAGTCCGGAAGCCCAATTCACGCACAGCGCCAACGTTTTCTGCATCTTGCCATCCCCCAGCTCGCAGAGAGTGGACGCAGCACCTTGCGAAAGTGCTGCGCCTGCCACGAAATCGATACTTGACCTTGCGAAAGTGCTGCGCCTGCCACGAAATCTATACTTGACCTTGCGAAAGTGCTGCGCCTGCCACGCAATTCAAACCTTGCGAAACCTTCGCGCGGCCGTGCCAATGGGCCCGGCCCGTTCCGAGACCGTTCCGAGACCGTTCCGAGACCGCCTCCGTACAGGCGTCGCAGCCGAGGTGGTTTGCGCACAGTCCGGAAGCCCAATTCACGCACAGCGCCAACGTTTTCTGCATCTTGCCATCCCCCAGCTCGCAGAGAGTGCTTGCGAAAGTGCTGCGCCTGCCACGAAATCTATACTTGAGAAAGCTATCTACGTGTTAAGCTGGCTATATGTCAAAGCTATCTATCTGTCATGCAAGCCTATTGGAAAGCTATCTATCTGTCAAGCTAGCTATATGTCAAAGCTATCTATTTGTCATGTCAAAGCTATCTATTTGTCATGCAAGCCTATTGGAAAGCTATCTATCTGTCAAGCTAGCTATATGTCAAAGCTATCTATTTGTCATGCAAGCCTATTGGAAAGCTATCTATCTGTCAAGCTAGCTATATGTCAAAGCTATCTATTTGTCATGCTAGCTACCTGTCATAGCTATATGTCAAAGCAGCTAGCTCATTTAGTTCCAGTACTACGGAAGTTTCTTGTTAAACTTCCTTTGACAACTATATACGTGGGTACATCTTTTTCGTTGATACTCTTTTTGAGGTGAACATGGGAACCAACCGGACGCTATCGTTTTGGGAGGTTCACGTGGAGACAACCCCATCTGTGTTTCAAGTGGCGTTGGATTTTGGTCAACCACGTTGCCTGGTGCTTTGGTATGTAACATGGCATTCTGGTCAAAATGTGGGCCTTGATTAGTAATTAGGGAAGTATTGGGCTCTGTCCCTGAGGTTGCGTGGGCTTCTGGGGTGCTATTAAACCAAATTACCTCATGATCATGGCCGAGAGAAGAATGCTTACAACTACATAGCCACCTGTATCAGCCATCACAGACATGCGGGTTCTTAGTGGTTGAAATTACAATTCGCCCCGCAAATGAGCAAGCTTCAACTGGAGCCGATATGGGCTGGGGAGGGTCCAAAGTTGATTTGATTACTTTAATGAGCCGAGGTCAAGAATGAACGTCATGGGCTGCCTGAAGTTGTACCGAAAGGTTTGAAGGCCCCAATTTGACAGAGAATCGCTACCCTTTTTGGCACCGCGTGTATATTATACAGTGTGTTATACATGGGGCGATCTTAGGACCCCTTTTGACTTGACACATCCCCACATCGAACTGATGAAACAAGTGCGGCAATTTGAGCTCCCAACTACCAGGATCTCCCCCTTGCACAAAGGGATTTGTTTCAATTGGGTGTCACCTTTATCTTTCAGCAAATGCTTTTGCTTTGACATGATTTATTTTGAACTCTGGCGGTTCGGCAGCTTCTGCTCTTCCTTGGACCAATGATTTGTTTAAGCATGGATCACCAAACTGTTTCAACTACTCATCCGGTCGGCGTCTCACTTATTAGAGGTCCATGGCAACTGGGCTATTCACCCTCTCTAGGCAACACACAACAAGCCAACAACCACAAACCGGCTCCCCGTGAACACACTTTTGCCGCGGGCGGGGTTGCACACCAATTCCAAATGTAAGGTCGTTATAAACTTCCCAGACCAATTGCGCTTGCCCAAGTGGGCAGTTCAACGTACGGCAAACAATTGCAGGTTCAGGTTAAGCTCACATCATGAACTATTCGGATTCGTAAAACCGTCTAAATTGAGGGTCCCAAAACATTAAACATTGGGCCAATGGCTTGCCATCAGATTGGCCCCGCCTCAACCTCTCGGGGCAGGCTTGTAGTGTCCTCGTTAAAGATCATGCCCTGTGGGTTTAGCTTTATTCAACTTGGTCGGAAAATGATGTTCAAACCACTCGACAAGGCACGTGTGTGTGAGTGTGAGTGTGAGTGTGAGTGTGGGTGTGTGTGTGTTGGTGCGTGTGCGTGTGCGGGTGTCGTGTGTGTGTGTGTGGTCTAAATTTGCCAAGGGGCCCATGACCGTCCCTACCAACCCCTTTTGCCAAGGAACCGATCTTTGGACCACATGCACATAAAGAAGGCCCCGGCCCGCCCCACTCCAACCTCTGAGCCCTACCACCCCGCCTTGGCCTTATTGTCCGCCTCAGCCTCCTCGCCCCGAGCTGGGGATTTGTTGATCCCGCCCTCCGCGTGCACTGTGACGGTGCCGGTGGCCGAGGTGCTCTCAATCCTCCGAAACTCACAAAGCAATAGAAACCAACTGATGGATGAGGACGGAATGGGCGAGCTGGAGGGACGACGAAATGGGCTGGCATCACACAATCACTCATCGCTCTCCTATCTCCGTCTCTACTCCCTGAGATCCTACATGATGAGACGGTTCTTCCTTCCGACCCATTCTCTAAGATACAAATGAGGGCGGGAAAGGAAGGGACAAGACATCACCCTCTATCAACTTTAAAATCCAGACTTGAGGCACGGGAGATACAGCTATTACAGAAGGAAGGCGAGATGGGGGATTGGCAACATGGGATTCGCACCCCTTCTGGTTGGTGCTACAAAAGGGGACCACCAGGTTGTTTCACAAACGAAACAAGAAGAACACCACCTGGTTTTTGGGGTGCACCCATTGTGTTGGCAATTGATTGAAAGGTAAGCTTATGTGTGGTCTGACTTTGCGGTGATGGCTGCTTGCTGTGTGCCCGTTAGTATTGCAATACTGTATTCTGACAAAGTTGATGCGAGGTCGTAACATTGCAGATTTGAACCCTTGGAGGGAGGGGGTGTCCCAAATAGTAAATGGACCTGGAAGGGTTCCCTTCATTTTAGTAACTCAGCATTTCGAGCTTGACTAGATTCCAAACTAGCAACTAGTTTGAGTGTGTCCTCGAATTAGGGAACCATCTTCAATGGTGTTTCCAGGGGATCCAAAAGCTAGATTTTGTTTGACCCCCTTTCCAAAGCGAGTCAACATGGGCGGACACAATCAGGTCGAACAAAAAGTGCAGAGTTGTCAACCAAACATAAACACATACCTTCATGAGGTGCAATTCTATGTGTCAACAAAACATCAAGGATGTTTTCATACTTGTAGGCAGGTATGCTCTGCAAGGCTTCAGGGCCCTGCCTGAGGCCTACCACATTGCGTTGAACCACTTCAACGGTTGCCCCTTTGTCCGCCCTGTTCAAAATTACCAACATAAAACACGCCTACGTGAACCTGCCTACTGGATCTTGTTGGCATGGCCGAAGCGGAATGCCAACACGATCCTACCCCCACCAATTTGCTTGTGCCGAGCACGAGTTCCACCCGAATATCGAACAAATACCCAATTCTGCACTACACAACAATTAACGTGTTCGTCTCTTCTGGGTCTGACAGTCTGACAAGCTGAATGTGCGTGCCTTTTCCTCAGGTTTCACTTTTTTGAGCTGCACAATGGGAATCCAAATGGTTTCACTATCTAAACCAAGTTCAAACTTTTTTAAAGCTCGATCCCCATTCTGTTGATCCATCATATGTTCAGTAAGTGTCCTTTTCCTCCAGGTTTTGCCTGGCTTCCCCAAAACGAAGGATCCTTCTCAAACAAATGGGGCGAGCCGTGTTCGCCGAAGCCAAGACGCTGGAACCTCGTCTCCGACTTCAGTACGAAGCGCATGATCGCGGCCGGCTCTGCGCCGGTCACGCGCACGGGCACCACGAAGGGGAACATCATGTTCACATCGGTGACGCGGACTCCTGCGCGCAGCGTCTTTTGCATGGCAAAACAAGGTTGCTTACTTGGTTGCTGCTGACACCTCTGCAAAAAGCTTATCTTTTGGTGGGTCCTATGGAAAATCTGACTTTTCTTTCACAAGAAGTGGTTGAAGTCCAAAGATCCGACCAAGTAGCCACAAGGCTGAAAGGATACATCCTAAAACCACCATCTGTACATGGGGGGAGCCTCTAAAGCCGCTGGAGCTGACTTTTTGAGCCGAAGTAAGTTTCCTTTGCGGGGTGATCCCGGTCCTTTCCACCCTCATTCTTTGTTTCTGTGGGCTGTTCTTTGGGTTTTGGGGCAAACCTCTGGATGTCCGAAAGTTGAGGCTAAAGGAAAAGCAGAAGAAACACACACACATGTTCATGATGTCCTGTTTTAGGAGTGAACACCTCCAACTCTGGCCCGAGTTGTCCCCCCAAACCAATTTAGGCAGAAGCCATACCATATATATATATATACACGTATGTATATACATATATATATATATATATGGCTCACTGGCAGTCGAGTTTCAAATTCAGTGGGCCAGATGAAGTTTGAGAGGGTTGCAACCTGAACATTCACCCCTTTCTCCTTCTTGCCCGACCCCATGTCAGGGTCATCCTATGTTCACACTCGTGTGGGCTCCATGTGCAGCTAATCTTGACGCGAAGCACCACTCGCGGCAAAGCTCAAGCACACGTTTCAACCACAATGAGCCATGCCCATTTAACCAGGCTGTTCTTCCCCATCCAGCTTTTAATTCGACCTTGGGCTTGTTTGGAGGGTGGTTTTTCTCCCCCCTTTGATATTATATATAAATATATATTCATGGTGAGTAACAGGCTTGCCTCTTCTGGCCAAGGACCTAGGCCCGGCCGGACCAAAGAGGCGCTTCTCTCGGGCCGCGCCTGGGCCGAAGAGCTCTCGGGTGGCCTCAAGCGCCATCTCCACAAAGACCACCCCGGGCACCACAATGGAGCCGAAGACCACGTGGTGCCTTCGTTAGCGAGAGAAACAGATAGCCTCCCACCCTTTTCACATGGAGCCTGACGTTCGGGACCCGGTTCCTTTAAAAGGAACATGGTCCAAACCAGGACCCCTCTGTCAGGTTCCAATTGGTGGGGGTAAATGGGAGGATTGAGGAGGTGTCTGACAGAACTCAAAGGCTTTTAGAAACTCTTGAATTGTGGAATTGCCCTATGTAGACATCATTTATGCACCAAGCAGTTTGGGATACTATGAGGTTTGGCAGGCTTCGTTCACTGAATTGGCAACTTTGGGCAACGCTTCATGATCGTTTTCTGAGGCGCTTCACCACGTCATAGACGTCCATCCGCATGGACACCTCGAACATGCCCTCGCCTGGGTTGCGGACAAAGGCCCAACATGGCGCGCTTTCTCTCATAGCGGAATCGGTCTTGCATGACTTGTTCTTTAGCTATTGCTTTGACCTGCTTCCAAGATATGTGGATTTGACTGGTTGTGAACAAATCACCCTTCGTGATGCCAACAATAACTTCTTGATCACTTCAAAGGGGTTCCTTGATATCACAGAAAGTGGCAAGGAAGCCGAAAGGAAACCAACCGGAGCCGGTGAGAAAACGACGTTGCTTCCTCGAGACACGTGGAAACTGGGTGCTGGTGGTTGTGGGAAATTTGGGTATCTAACAACAGGCTTCTGGTAATTCCTCCAGCTGCTCGCCTCACTTCCTGAGTGGATGGGTCCAAAAAAGTCGAAACATTTTGTTTACCACTACAAGGGTCCCAACCCAAAAAGTGTTTAAAGTCCAGGAACTCAGGAAGTGAGTCGCCCTCTGTCCTTGAGCTATTTTGGAGGCCCAGGCGCCCGGCTTGGCGCGGAGGAATCGGAACCCCACCTCGCGCCACGCGAAGTTCCGGCGCTCGAAGGCCACCGACTTCAGCCGCGCCGGGCGCAGCGCCGCTTGAGCGCTGCCCCGGGTGTTGGCCAGCTGCCGGCGGAAGGACTCACCCGCCTGCGGAACTAGGACCGCCGACTGGGATCCTGAGGGTTTTTGGCCAACTGGTGGTACCCTCCGACCCTTGTCACATGGAACCGTTCGACGTTCGGGACCCCGGCCTTTAAAAGGAACATGGTTCAAACCAGGACCCCCCCTGTCAGGTTCCATGTTAGTTGTACCGAAAAGGAGGACTTGGATGTTAAACGGGGACCAGCCTCAGTTACCCAAGCTATAAACTCATGGTAGCCTACAAAGCTGGGTTGACGATTGAAGCAAATGACCCCTTGTTACGTCAGTCAACGCTAGGGACCCTTTCACATGGTTTGCATCATGTTGCAAGCGGCAAAACAACGCCATCAAACCTGTGCCTGCACTAGGAATGGGACCCATCTTGGGAAAAATGCTCTGGCTTGCAACTGTCCATCCAGTCGCTTTGACCTCCCAAATTCGGCGAAGAGCTGCTTCATCCTTTTGCTATTGCCTTTTCAGAGTGTTCGTCCGGATAAGGCTCCGGATGGCTCCGGCATTTTGTCAGCTGCAGAGTGTTTAATTCCTTTAAGGACATGAGGAAACAAATTCAGAAGCATGGCTCTCACGTTGCTTCAGCTTCCTAGTGGTATCGCGCTGGTCATTCAGCCTGTCAGGGATCCGCAGGGAGGTGCCATGTGCCCCCCCCCCTCCGCTTTTGGCATATGTGCCTCCAAGTGACAGAACCCACCAAAATTGGCAAAATGAGTGGTTGTGCTTCGGCTTCCCTTTCACCAACCCTCAGAAGGGTGATGTTGACCCGGATCCATCAAGTTGGTGGATCAATACAGGGCTGTTTCCCCCCAAAGTGATCCGGATCCCTCTCAAAGAGAACACCCCCCATTGATCAACCAGGGGTTGTCATCAGTTTTGAGTTCCCACCCTCAACATGAGTTTACAATTGTCAACCCCCTAGGTGAACGAAGGGAAGCAACCCGAGTTTCTGACAACCTCCAAAAATAGCCAAACTAACTTGCTGGTTCTCGGCAGGTAATCGTTTCGGGCTTTGACAATGAACCCTTGGGGATCCATAAGGACACCACCAGTATAGTTTAGTTGGTGTCAACTGTTTGCTTGCCGAACCAGCAAATTTTTGAGGGGAGCTCCCATGCTTGGAAAATGGAAGCCAACAAGAAACTGGCCAACAAATTTTGGCACATGGAAACCAACAAGAAACTAGTCAACAGATTTTGGTAAATGGAAACCAACAAGAAACTGCCCAACAAACTTTGGTATATGGAAACCCACAAGACACCAGTCAACAAATACCCACGCAAACCTCACCCCACCCGTGCCCCAAGAGCAGCCGACGGAAGCGACGGCTCCTCGCCTCGGTGGCGCAGGAGACCACGCCGTGCGCGTTGGTCCCCCCGAAGCCGAAGGATGAGAGTCCGCCGCCCAAGCGGCTCAAGCGGCCCTGGGCACCGAGCATAAGCGCCTCTGACGTCGTTGGGATGTCTTATGATATATCTAGGGCATCCCATGTGGATATCTCATGATGGGGTTCCCTTATGATATCTTTCATGAACCTTATGATAGGGTTCCCTTGTGAGATCTTTCGTCCTTTGGTTGACATCATGTGTATGTAAGCTAACCAAACGGCACCACACAAGCACGCGATAACTCTTTTATCCGAGCAATGTGTTGGTGCCAGGGACTCATCTTCCCCTGTCAGATGTCAACGGCTGGGTGGGCCCCATGGGCCACCCACCACAAACTCTCAAAAACTGAAGAACGGGTGTGCAGACTGATAGCGCCCGCCCCTAGGGGGGTCTGCCACCAGGGGAAGTGAGTCACCCACCGACTCCGGTCACGGGAGCATGGGTGGGCCCACGCTAAGATCAAATGCATCTCCATTCAGGAGACGCGGGAGAAAAACGAACTCCTCGCAGAGTTCCTGTTTGGGGACCCTGTGCAAAGGGTCGAACCCAGAGAAATCTGGGTGCGTCAGCTCATCAGCCCACTGGTTGAATTCCCGGGGCACGTGGTTGGCCGCCAGCGAGCAGCCATGGGTGTGGAGCAGGAAGACCAGCTCCATCAGGATCGCCGCGGTGTAGGGCTTCTTGGATCCAAGGTTGAGCATCGCCATGACGTTGCCCTGATTGTCACTGCCCACCGGGAGTCGGACCCGGGAGGACAGAGGGCCTTGGTGCGTGAGGATCATGTTACAGAGGAAGAGCGTGCCCAGCATTTCCAAAGCCGCAATCCTCCGCTTGGGATCCCCATTCTTGAATGCCCAAGGGTACTCCTCCACGTGGATCTGCTCGTGGAACCAGTACACCTCCTTCTTTTCCGGCTCCATTTTGTTGGAGCACCATCCTCCCACAAATGCCAGTCCTTCGTCCGAGGCGCTAGCATCGCTGCAAGAGGACTTCGGCAAGTAAGGGGAGTACTGGACGAAGGGCGTGTTGAAGAGGAACCGCAGCATGAACGCCAGCATCCTGACCATCTTGGGGGGTTTCCCCACCGTGGTGGTGGCCATCTTCCAGGCCCAAAGTGGCTGAAGCATCGACTTCGCCAGCGGACATGCAGCAGTTGCCCATTGGATGCGGCCCAGGGCCTTCTCGATGTCCTTTGAGTGCATCGCCTGCCCTTCCACCATGGTCTGCAAGACCTCCATCACCAGGATGTGTTTGTTGGCGGCCATGAGAACCTGCGGGATGTTCGGGTGGACCACGAAGCCCAGCCACGTGTTGACCTCCGCCAAATGTGTCTTCTTCCAGCTAAGCGGGGTGCCCAAGGCCAGGAGTGTTGCCAACAGCGCCACCGCCAAGTTTACTGCCCCCTCGCTTCGAAGCAGCCACAGGAAGTCATCCACAAAGACGAAGTTCCAATCCACTTGAGGGAAAAGTGCGTAGAGGACCCTGAGTAGAAGGGCTGCCAGGCGTCCCCAGTAGGATTGGGCACTGGCCATGCCGTATGTGCCTACCTTGTTCACCCACCATTCTTCCCCCAGTGAAGCCACCTGGAACCGCCAGTCCTTCCTGAGGACCTTCACTCTCCGGTGGGCCTTGGTGACGTCCGCCTTGAGCAGCACCCACCTGGTGCCCGGCTCCGGCCATAGCCAGCCCCCAGGTGGAGGTTTGACGACCTCCTTCTCGGGGCCAGGGGCACCCTGAGAGGGAGGTTTTTCCGCAGCTGCCGCATGTAGCCAATGAAGAGCTTGTACCCCATCCAGCACCGTCGGAGCCGTCGTCCTTTCCACCGTCTGGTTCCTGATGGTGTCATTGGCCCCGCCCACCGAGCCATCGTAGATGGTGCGGATCTTGTCCCCTTCGTCGATGCCCGCTAGGGGGCCGGGACAAAGGTCCTCAATCTTGCAGCCACAGCGCGCTGCTGCCTCCACCTTGGTGAAGGGGCCCTCTACCATGCCCATGGGGACCTCCTCCAGGAATGTGCCACGGATGAGCTCACTGAAGTGATCCGCCGAGGGGTAGTTACCCCGGCCCGTGGGATGAGGAACTCCTTTTAGCTCCTTCTTGAGTGGCCAGATGCCCGGCGAGGCCAGGGGTGGGTCCGTGACCCCAGTGGGACCCCTTGTTCCAGATCCCGAGGAAACTGGTGGTCGGGGTCCTGAATGTTCAGCGCCACTGTGCAAGATGTCCAGGAAGAAGGGTTGGCCTTCAGCTGGTCGGCCTGCCCCCGGCGCCAGGATCTCCCTGATATCCTCCAGCAGGTCCTCCGGGAAGGGGTGTGACCCGTCCCCCAACGAGAGCGAGTCCCCCCATGACAAAGTGAGGACACAGATCTTGGCCCCCATCGCTGCTGCTTTGGACAGTGGCCGAGTCCACGGGGCCAGCCGTCCCAGTGAGGGCTTCTCACCCCCGTCCCTTAGGGGGCGCTGTTTGAAGGCCATGTGGAGGTACATGACCTTGTCGGAGAGATTTGGGTCGTGCGTGATCGGCAGGGTGGTGGGCCGATCCGAGATCTCCCTGCAATGGCGTGCCCATGGCTCAGGGGAAAGAGTTCCACCCCGAAGTTCGACCGTCCCGCCAGCCGGCTGTGTTGGTGTCCGGACCTCCGGATTGTCTGAGGCCGAGACCGGAAGTGAGCCCAAGGTTAGTCCCGCCAACGCTTGTTGGCCGGCCTTCAGGACTGGCGCTTGTTGTCCCCCGGCCTGCTGGGAGAAGGTTCCCTCTGTCGCCTCGGGGGGGTCGTTGGGTTCGCTTTGGGCACCGTGCCCCCCGGCCTCAGCGCCTCCAGGACGGGTCCCGCTCTGCAAAGGATGGCCGCTGCGAGACCCTGCATCATCTGCTCTGGATACCGGCTGAGGTCACTGGAGTTGAGCTTTTCCCCCCTGAAGTGAGCTCCGTGGTTGCATCGCAGATCATGCCAATGGTGAAGGGGAAGGTCCGTTGACAATGTCGTGGACTTCACTACCACCTGGCCCAGGCGGCACTCGTCAAACTTGATGAGGGAGTGGTGGAGTGCGTTCGCCCATTGAATGTAGGCCCGTGTGACCCAGATCGATGAGCACCTCGCTGCGCTCGGGCTCTTGCTGCACTCCATTGGGAGCACCCAAGAAGGAGGAGCCCACCTGCGGGACTGTTAGTTGACCTAGCCCCTGGTAGGCCAGCGAGGTCAGGTACATCTGTCGGAGCATGAGCACGCTGTCGTTGTCCGTGTCCTCCATTACCGGGGCTCCAGGTCCTCGTCTGCTCCGCCCTGCCCTTACCGGCGGCGGGCCACCCGGTTTGGGGAACCATCTGAGAATGCTCCACGTCCTGCAGTTGGGGCCGCCCCCCACAAAGGCGACCTTGCCCGCCATGGCCATGGAGCACATCGTAGAGTAAGGCTCGTCTCCCAGCATGTCCTGTCCAAGATCTCCACCCTTTCGCCTGATGTCCACTGCCCAAATGTACTCCGAGAAGGCCGGGTTGTAGGCATGGAGGTAAGCATCCAGGGCCCCCGCATCATCCTTCCCAGCGTACAGCAGGATGAGGGACGGCTTTGACGACTCCGGCACCGGACGTGGCGTCCACCTTAGTCTGAGCCTCAGTCTTTCCGGGGTGTCCTGCATCCATGGGAAGGTGGGGCTTGCCCCCCCTAGGGTTTCCGTGTGTCCTTTGTCTGACCCTCCGGTCATCTGTCCCTGGGCTTGCTGCTTGCCCTGGTTCTGCCCGCCCTTGGAACGCCCCTTGCCGGGCGGATCCTCACCTCTGGGTCTCTCTGGGGGTTCTTCCCACTGCCTCGGTGGGTGCGGGGGAAAGGGGTGCTTCCGCCCTTCTGGAGTGCCCTGGCTGGGTCCGCTCCTCTTCTTCGGTGGAGGGGCTTCCGGGGCCGGTGGCACCCTGGAGAAATCCCCTCCCACCTGCGGCCGTCCTGGCCTCCCCCGCTCTGTCTGCCTTCCGCTGTGGCTCTGGTGGGGTTGGCTCTCCCCCGCTGTGTGCACTCTCGCACTGGTGGCCTGTGATCCCATCGGAGACACTTGGGAAGGTGTGGGCATGCCTGTGACACATGCTTCGATGGGGGGGCATCACACACCCACCCATCCTTCCTGACCGGTGCAGTTGTGGGATCGGCCGCATGATCCCGAACACTTGTTGTGAAGGTGATGATCTCTGCAGTACGCCACCCCTTTGGGATTCTTGAAAGCCCAGTGGTCCGGCCATGGGGTCGAGGAGGTGGACTTACCTTTGCCGCCCTTGCCCTTCGGCTTGGACCGGGTCGGCCCCGAGGGCCAGGATCCTTTTCCCCCCTTCTTGGGCTTCTCCCACTGAGTCTGCCACACCTTGGGTGCCTTGCTCTTGCTCTTCCCCTTCTCCGGCGCCCTGTTGAGGTGCTCATAGCCTGGCCCGCCGGGTGGTCACCTTGGTTGCCCCCCCGGACCAAGTTGGCTGCCACCCGAACTGCCTGAAGGAGGCGCATCGCCGTGAAGGCCGAGGTCTGGGCGTTGAACCCATTCTCTCCATCCTGGAATCCCAGGTCCCGGGGACCATTGTCCCTAGCCGCCGCCTTTGTGTTCCAGCGATCCGCCAGGTCTTCCACCGTGACGTATCCCGATGCGCCCAGAGCCGCCTGGATGGCCCAGACGATTTCCTTGCCCACCAGGATGGCCGCCAGTGGCTTCTGCAACTTTGCCACGTCCTCCTTGAACTCCGCTGGGACCTCCTCCGGTGGTTTGGCGGGCGCGGCCGCCATGACCTCTTACCTCGGTGTGGGTGGGTGGGTTTTCACACAAATTGGGTTCCAGGAACCCAGGGCAATGCTTGAGCCAAAATGGCACATGCCATTATGGTCAAGCATTTCAAACACAGTTCATGTTTCCACATGCGTTTCAACATTAACAAAGTGTATGTAAGCTAACCAAACGGCACCACACAAGCACGCGATAACTCTTTTATCCGAGCAATGTGTTGGTGCCAGGGACTCATCTTCCCCTGTCAGATGTCAACGGCTGGGTGGGCCCCATGGGCC